CGCCCGGGTTTTTGTTCCGCAAATTATGATCTGAAAAGCGGGATCTTAGCCGAATATGTACACCTTCAGAGTGAATCAGAGCGGGATCTTAGGGGGTGACTTTAGTATAATAAAAATTATGTTTTCTTAAAACAGCGGATCTTAAGCGAACCGGGATCGTAAGCAGTGGGATCTTAGGCGGAGACTACTGCATTGGCCCCGATGTCCGGGCTATTTATAAATCTCGCACTTAGGCGTCTTCGGCTTTTCTTCCCTTCCCTTCAATTATTTTTTCTGTCATCATTTAGTTGTTATAACCCTCATTTTTCGGCAATAATAATTTTATAATAATAATAGATAGCATTTGTATAGCGCATATCCCCGCTCAACAGCAGGCTCTATGCGCTTTACACTATATTATTACCCCAGCAGACCATAGAACACTCCGAAACATTCTCAGCTTCCCGCAAAGCATACAGTGCAAGCAGCTGATTAAGCGCTCAAACACTAACAAACTGACTAGAACTTTCGCTGTCTATTGCCGGGTACCCATTCCCACCTGGGTGAAGAGAGGAAAATTCGTGTAAAGTGCCTTTCCCAAGGTCACAACGTCGGGCCCCTGACGGGATTCGAACCCACGACCTCACCGTTGCGAGTCCGAGAGCCTAACCACTGTATACATGCCCCATGCCGTTTTCTTTTTGGTCGCCACCTTTTACTGTCTCGATAAGAGTGGGGGTTTTATTTTTCGTTCATGTTTGTCGTTTCCAGCATTCCTTTGTCTTCTTTTCTGTCCACGATGGCTTCAGCATTCTCCTTATGACCCACATTTCTGCTGCTTCTAATTCTTTCTTAATAATGTAGACATAGATGTAAAATTAATTACTGGCGTCTGTACGGGTCCAGTACCACTTTCCACACTCCAGGTTTACTTAAGGGGAGGAAAATCCGAATGCAATGCCCATCTGTTTTGGTTGAGTAAAGAGACGCACATCGACATAATAACTAATGGCCACTTTATACAGGGGCAAATTAAAGACTTAGACAGACAGACAGACAGACAGACAGACAGACAGACAGACAGACAGACAGACAGAAACAACAAAGGGAGACAAAAGAAATAGGACGTACCAGTGGCGCCCTCCAACCACCCATCATGTCCATCTCTGATACACCCGAATCACGCTCCCATATGGCCCTATTGACTCTCCTTTAGGCTCTCGTAAGGTCTTGGGTTCGAATCTCGTCAGGGGTCCGACGTTGTGTCCTCGGGAAAGGCACTTTACACGATTTTTCCTCACTTCACCCAGGTGGGAATGGGTATCCAGCAATAGACAGCGAAAGATCCTGTCAGTTTGTTGGTGTTTGAGTGCTTTATCAGCTGCTTGCACGGTATGCTTCCCGGGAAGCTGAGAATATTTCTGAGTGTTCTATAGTCTGCTGGGGTACTAATATAGTGTGAAGCGCAAAGAGTTTGTTGTTGAGCGGGATGTGCGCTATACAAATGCTATTTATTCTTCTTCTTCTTCTTCTTCTTATTATTATTATTATTATTATTATTATTATTATTATTATTATTATTATTATTATTATTATTATTATTATTGTCGATTCGCCAGCAATCCACTCAGTCCAAGTTATAAGAATGTTCGATTTTTGCACCCTCCCTTAGCTGTATCAAAGATGAACCTTGTAACATTACCAAAATGCAATTAAATGCTTTGGTCAAGGCTTACAGTTTTCTTGCTTTCCATGATTAGTGATTGGAACAACACAACAAAAATTACGCTGGGTTGTTTTTTCGGGTTTTATTCGGGGGGGGGGGGGGGTTGTTGTTGTTGTTGTTGTTGCTGTTGTTTGTCGCTGATCTAAAGAGTATCCAAACGGACATAAGTGGATTCCTTGCGACATTGACATTATGAAGTTGTGAGCGCCGTAAAACTCCTACTAAAATCCGAGCCAAGTAGTCGAAGAGCCTTGAACACCACCCCCTCCACACATCCCTCAAATAACGATCATCCAAGAACGCCACATTTGGGACCCGAAGTTTTAAGAAATCCGTTTCATCTTCAGCTAAACGAAGCCTACAACAAAACAATTCCCAGCAACTACAGAGTGAGAGGAAGACCTAGAAAGAGGCAGATTAAGGAAGTAAAGGACACCTAAGAAGGTCACAATTTCCGGCTCCAATAGTGTTTCTGGTTTACAAAAACGAAGACTACCTGTTCGCGACTCATCATGGCATAAGAAGTCTATACCTCCCCATGAAACGTCAAAGTATAGTTTCGTTTTCGTGAGAGTTTTACGGCACTTGCAACACAATAAGGTCATATCATATAAGTGCGGAGGAAAAGATATGTTACAAAACAGTTTTTCAGTTTTAGTAGAGGTTTTACGGCGCTCGCAACTGCATAAGGCCATATGAGTGCCAGAAGATATAAGAGAAGTTACAAGAGAGTAACAAACATAAAAAAGAAGAAGGGGAGATAAGGACGATAGATGTTTGATAGGAAAGAAGAAACAAACCACACCAGAGCACCCACCAACGACAAACCAAACCTCAAGGTTTTAGCAATAGATTTTTTAAAAGTGTGCAAGATACAAGATACGAACATGGCAATGTTTACAAATTAGAAACCGCTTTAGTCTGGTTTTAGTAATGAGAGTTTTTAAGGCACTCCCAACACAATTAGGTCATATAAGCAAGTAAAACAAAATACAAAACATGAGGAGAGATAAGGA